TATATTTCAAATTTCTATCAATAATTACAACTACACCATTTCTTTTGTGACTTTTACCTGAATACCAAAGTTTAAAACCTAAGCTATCAATCTTCTTAGCCATTTCTCCTACCCATTTAGTTTCTTGAATACATAAGATATTTATCTTTCTATGAAGCATAATATCAACTAATCTCATTAAGCATAATATCAACTAATAATATCAACTAATCTCATTAATTTATCTATGAAAGTACCTATATTCCAAGAACCTATCATAATTTTAATTTCATAGACTAGCTTCTTTATCCATATCCGTCCATAGTGTGGGAACCCTTGCTTATTTAACATCTCACCCAGACGTCAGTGTAGCGGCCCTTGCATACTTTTCTTTGTTTTCAAATCATACAACGCGTCGCTTCCGAGGGACGCTTTAGCATTTACACAATGATCAAAAGAATTCATATCTTGATTTGTCGGCAAATTTTACGCCTCAACCATTCACTTTTTACATCCGAGGATTGAGACTCAGCAATGACAGTGTGACCAATACACGAAATAACTAATATTTGAGAATATTGTTCAGGCTCAAAAAGCTTGAACTATTTTTAAACTTGAAAGCATTAATAAGCTATACATGCTCTCAAGCATATCATATTGTATATAAGGCAATGTCGTAAGTTCCATTCCAATCTTCCTTCTGGAAATGATCGGAGTTTACAACGTAGCCCTTATTTACTCCTAAAAACAATCGAAGTTTATGAAACCGAGCTTTCATTTTGCCAGTTCAATCCTCCTCCAGAAGATAACCAAAGCTGATGAGCCCATTTAGCTTGCTTTATTCTCTTGACAAAGATCATTGATGAGACTAAATCCCATTTAGCTTGCTTTATTCTCTTGACAAAGATCAGAGTTGATGAGATTGATCCCAATTTAATTAGACCGATCATTCTCATTGCGATGATTAGAGTTGAAAGTGATTGATATTTTTGAAAATATTTAAGCGACAAGCCACAGCTAAATTGTGAATGGAGAATGAGTTAAATTCATACTCTTAATCTGATTGAATATATTGATATCATTCAACGTTGAGAACCAAACACTTATAAATTTCGTCAAGTCATTTTTATCATACTCATGCGTGCAAGCCTGAAGGTCTTCTATAAAGAAATCTCACACTTTAATGACAACCTTTAATCTTGAGGCTAAACAATAATCATAAGTTTTAATTTACAAACTCGATTCTATGTAAGCAAGATGTAGAGTTGACATTGTTTAATCTAATTAACTAAAAAATAATTGGATCCCCAATGATAATCATATTGAAAGTGAATTTCAATCATAGGAGTTTATTTTCAAAATTTAAGCTCTTAAATTGCAAATATTGGTTCAGTAATTTAAATATTTCGATGATGATTGTGTTGAATGCAAATATCATTTATAAGAGATAATGTCATTAAAATGCGTAAGAATTTTAAAGTAAGTCACTTCAAACCAAAGTCTTAATAAAATATCAAAAATCAGAAAAGATTATAAAAAGCTAAAAATGTTAAAATGAAATTCTTTCACATAATGCAAAAGATCAAACTCCATCCAACCTCTTCCACCTTTTTTGGAGCATGATAGGCTTTTAGATTGATATAATCTCGTAATAACATACCAAATATATTACTATATTTACTCTTAAAATAATTATGCTAGTAAGGGCGTGACCCGAGTTATTTATTTGTGTGGTTTGACCAAATGGTTTCACAATTTTTGTGGTTACTACCAGAGCCTCTGACAGGGTGGTCTGGCTCGAATGCTTAATTATATTTTGATCATAGTTGTATTCCTTATGTTCCTCAATATATTTCTGTTATTTGAGACTTGAATTATAGAGTCCATTTGATATGACACAAAAGTCTCTGTTAATTAAAGTCAAATTAGGTTTATATTTTTTAAAAATATCACCTCATGTCTACAATGCCTCATTGGACAAAAAAAGCAATGGTCGGTGACAAAGATCCTTCGATTATGTTGGGTTGACTCCATTCTTTGATAAAATAGACCGTTTTTCATGATAGCTTGAGATAATAGAATCATGAAATATTGATCGGTTTCTTTATCAATTTCTCCACAATTCACGCTAAGCTCAAGGTAATGGTTTCTTTATTCTAAAGCTTAATTGTTGCTACTATTCACTTAGTATTTAGCGCCAAACGACCAACCTTAATAAAAAAAAATGAGTTGTAGTGGGAAGGGTTAATTAATCATAAGGGCTTATGCCCGTGAAAAACATTGAACCAAATTATAAAGTTTTTGAAAATAAAGGCGAAATCTTTGGATAGTGTCTTGAATGCAACTTAATCAGCTTTCTAAAAAATTGACTTGGAATACACCAAAACATTCTTCGACATTGAGAGACTAGGGCATTAATTTTTAGAGCCACCTACAGATTAATGTGTATGATTATGCCAACATTTTGTACAAGATAAATGATGTATCTCCATCTTTATTTTTTGCAACCTCTTGAATGATATTGGGAATGACAATTTTATTATTTTTAATATTTTTTAAAATTAAAAAATAATAGCTATATAATGATATGAGTAGACAAGGGTATCTATAAAAAACTGTTAGGGGAAAAAAAAAATAGCACAGAAAAGATACCACGTATAAATTTCAATTATTTAGCTTGAAGCCTAGTGAAAAAGGTTGAAAAAAAATTCATGTTGCCAACCCCACTGAATGGTATAAAGGCTTGTTGCTGCTGTTGAAGCCCAGTGAAAAAGTCGAATGAATTTTCTTTTGATCCTTGCCCCTTTTTAGCATAAAAAGTATGAAATCTCTTATCTATTATATAGTCAACGCTTTGAATGTGTTAATGAAAATTAAAATGCTGTGATAAATAATCATCATTTTGTTCACAACTGGGGCTAATTAGGTAAGAGTTGCGAAATATTATTTGTGATAATATCAACAGTCGATGAAGAGATCAATACCAAAAGGCTAACTTGGATAAGAACATTAGCCATTATGTGCAATATATGTTCGTATTAGGCATTTAAATTGTGACCAGATAGGATATCATCATTGCTACTTTTTAGAGAAGGTACTCTTTTTTCTGTCTCAGCCCAAATATCTATTAATGTTCTTAACTTTATATCAATCAATGCCATCGGCATAAAGTTTAGATATATAACTAATAAAATGAAGACATTTGCATCTTATGGGTTTCGCTACTAAAAGAAGTGTTGGTAGTTAATCTGGTGTAGACATTCAAGACTCTAACTGTAAGAGGCTTTTATGAATACATAGTTTGAATGAAGAGATTAAACTTTTGAGTTTGAAAGTCATAAAATAAAGATCAATTGAATTCAACCTATAGAAGAAAGAAACTATATAAGTACAAAAATTAACATCAAGAAAATAAGGATAAATATGAGCTTGCATTAAAGAAGTCATGGTTTGCTATTTCATAAACACAATTTTTTATTTGGTAATTAATTGTATTTAATAAATGCATCAGAAATATGATTAAAAGGTAATATATAAAGGAGCACTGTATTTTAAATAATTTAGAGTATTTTCTTGATATTACAAACACTTCAACGACATAGAGCACAATGTCTTTTTAACAATTTATCAATGTTATAAATTACATCCAACTTTCACGTGCATAGATAATTCTTTCTTCATTTATATGAATACACATCCATGCATATAGCATTTGTGCTAGTAGAATTCAATCTACTTCAAAAATTATAATGCTCTTCTCAGAAAAAAGAGTAATGAGAGAGAGGGAGAGAGAGGCAGAGAGAGAGAGGAAATTAAAGCATAAGTGATCATTAAGTTTGAAAGTTTACTCAGCCAAAACAGGTGATAAAGTATGTGCTTTGTGATTGTCTGTAATTAAAAAATCACATGCCATTCTAGTTGATCCAAATTTAGGACGTGTGTGCATGATTTAATTGAGTTTAACATCCTTTTGGTATCTTAGAAACACGTACCTTTTGATGGTACACAATACTATAAAATTTTTTGAAGGTAAGATCAATTTTTGTGTAAATAAGTTCAATTCAGAGATCAAACTGACTTTATGCAGTCTTTTCACTTGAATAAATAACAAGTAACATAATAACAATAATTTAGAATGCATTTTCTGGAACGTGATAATATGTTTTAAATATTTTTTACAACTAACCCCAAAGGAACATAGCACAAACAACTAAGAAATGTTGTTTAAGCCCAAAAAAAAAAAAGAAAAAAAAAACCATGATTTTGTCACAACAAAATATACGTAAATATGCTTCAGGAGGGGCCCTTCACATTCGAAAATTAATATGATAATCAAAATTTTACTATCACACATTTTACCTGTGGTTCTTTTATTGCTGAGAATTTTTTATTCATATTTTGAATCAAAGGTGAATATTTTATTTTATTGAAACTTGAAATCACAATTCACTTTTAAATAGCAGTATAAAGTACAAACAATAACAGGAAGAGAAAGGAGGAGAAAATTATACAAGCCAAATTTTCCACCCAAATAAAAGGTCAAAATCAATATTGCAAGTGAATATATTTGACATTTTAGGATATTTTGCTGATAAAATAATGTATTCAAAGTTTTTGCTTCGTCTTATAGTCTTGGTTATTTTTATTGTTCGCATTTCAAACAAAAATAAATTTAGTTGATTTTTTTTATGTTTCATGTTCAACTGTTATACCTTCGAGTGTTGGGATGCCATTACCCCAAATTTATGAAGCTTAAGGTGAGAATTTCAACTCCTATCACTATTGAGTGGTTCAAAAAATGGAATGTTACACTGCCATGCACCAATTATTTAATATAAAATTTCATAATGACTATTACATTTATGCATTACTGTAAGAAATATTACATTTATGCTTAACTGTTAAAAATTACAGATTTTGCAATTAATTTTTACCTAATTATTTGATATATAATTTGACAATGAATATTAAAAATTACAAATTTTGCAGTCATTTTTGACTTTCACATCATCATTTTTTAGGAATTTGGATCTGGCAACCCGCAATCTTTGGAAGGAAGATTAGTCCAAAATAAAGCAGATTCTGCCAAAAGGAAGAAATTTGATGTCACCAATGCATCTTCTATCAAGCCAAATAAGAAAACCCGTCCAATATCAGCTGATGGACTTCCTAAACCCGATCCTATGATAGCCGTAGACCAGAAATTTACTTCTATTTTAGCCGAGCCTGTGCCATCCACTCCCCTTATAAGCTCAGATGGCCATGCTAGCGCTCTCATGATTTCCACTGAAGCTCCAAATTCTGAAAAACAAAGCAAACCAAACTTGAGTTATGCTCTGCCAGCAGAAGGCCTGTCATGGTTGCAGAAATCTTCATGGAAAGACCTTGTTAGAGGAAAAGGAAGCAGTTCATTCAGCATCTCCAATGTGTTATCGAACCTTCCGTCCGTATCCCCAGAAATGCCAAAGGACAGTGAATTAGATACCATCACATTGCAAAAACTAGAATCTTTCGGGGAGAAATCAAACAAAGAAGTACCTCAGATTGCACATATTACTCCTACAATACAGGTTGAAACTCAACATGTTGAAAGCCAAAATACGTCAAACATGAGTTATGCTCAACCATCATATGGACAATCATGGCTACAAAAATCTTCATGGAAAGACCTTGTTGGAGGAAGAAGCAGCAGCTCATTCGACATCTCCAATGTTCTATCAGGCTCAACATCAGCATCTACAGAAACGTTGGAGGCCAATGCTGCATCGGGCACCATTCCGACAAAAATCTCCAAAACTTGTGCAGAGAAATCAAAGCAAAAAACACCACAGATTGCACAGATTTCTCCAGAAATAATTCCAAAGCCACCTATCTGTGCTGAAGACTTAAAAAATAACAAGAAAGAATCTTCGTCATCCGTGCAAGACAAACATAGTGAAGGCCAGACAAGTGGTGTCCAGGAACGAAGGAACGAGAGACCGGAGATCAATTTTGGTGAAGTTTGCGTCTTCATGAGGAACGAGTCTGAGCAGCAGTGGTCGAAGGCCAAGGCAGCCCTGAGTGGTTACCTTAAAAAGAATAGAAACGAAGGCAATGCTTCCAAATTGTCAAAGTGCAAGCCGCCAAGCAGGCATTGAGAATTTTAGACGGGAGCATAAACTTTGTTAGTATCTTTAAACTCTTAATCTATATTTATAAGCTGTGTTATGTATGTTCATTTTTTGCTTTCAGCTCTTAGTTGCATCCCATGCAAAGAGCTCGGAATTATTGGCATTCTTTATTGGATTGCTTTAATTGCTTTTGTTTTAGCATAATCAAGTTGTGTATATTACATGTGTGTGTTTTTTGGTCATGGAGTTGTTGATCTGGCCATTTATACTTATAATACCTTTATATCATAAACTTATGCATGAAAAGGTGTATTTTATGTACAAAAAGGAAAAAGCTAGTGGCGGTACTATTTTTGATGTCATGTTGAAGATTTGAGTGGTATGACTGTAAATATGAATGTTTAGGTGTTAAATATGTAAATTGTGTATTTTATGTACAAAAAGGAAAAAGATAGCGGCGGTGCTATTTTCGATGTCATGTCGAAGATTTGAGTGGTATGACTGTAAATATGAATCTTTAGGTGTTAAATATGTAAATACAAAAGACTTTGAGATGCATTCATCTATGTTATAATATGCATATTTATTTCATCATCATGAATGTCAAATTATTATACAATCATATTAAAATGACAAAATATAAAGGTACAACTAGGGGTGTAAACGATCTTTATTTCATCATCATGATTGTCAAATTATTATACAGTCATATTAAAATGACAAAATATAAATGTACAACTTCAGAAGAACTGCACCATCGCACATATGACATTATTAAATTATTATTGTTTTATAAAAAAAATTACAAATTATAAGTCTGATCATAATTTCATATTCATATCTTATTAATTTCTTTAACTAATTCATTTTACTTGAAATAAATTATAAATATAGGTGCAACAAGGGTGAGCACAAAGCCTAATAAACTACACATCTTGCCAGATAACTAACGAACGAACACATCTTAGTTCGTGTTCGACTCGTTAACTTATCATACTTATCAAACGAAATTAATGAGCCGAACACGAGCTTCTTAACGAGTCGAACACGAGCTGTTGCTCGCGAACAACGAGCTATTTTGACAGCCCTAGGTATAACTTCAGAAGGACTGCACCATCGCACATATGACATTATTAAATTATTATTGTTTTATAAAAAAAAATTACAAATTATAAGTCTGATCATAATTTCATATTCATATCTTATTAATTTCTTTAACTAATTCATTTTACTTGAAATAAATTATAAATATAGGTGCAACAAGGGTGAGCACAAAGCCTAATAAACTACACATCTTGCCAGATAACTTATTACCTGTAAATAAATATATTGTGCAAATGTTCATGTTTAGAATACAAAGGAAGAATACTTGATTATTATTTTCAACAAATTGTATGAAGTCATAAGATCATATATATGCTTAATACAATGATTTTATTATTAGCCTTGGCATTTATTCATGTTGCATTAATATTTGATATATATGAAATGCTATAATTACATATAATAAGAGCAACTTAATTATTAAACATAACTATTATGGTTCTTTATATAATTATGAGGATTTAATTAGTCTTTAAAATATACTAAATTGATGCATCTTGTTGCAGCTTCACACCTCAATTTTTACATACATATCCATGCATGAAACTGTGTATTTCACTTTTTAAAAACATAAAATGGTGGTGCTTTTGATGTGACATGAAAGATTTAGGTGGTATAAATAGAAAAAAAATATAATCAATACGTAAATACGTAGGAATTGGGTGGTATGTATGTAAAGGTCCCAAACGAAATTTGGAACATTAACATTACTCGATTAATGTACTACTTCAACAAATTGTAACAATGCTTGAGCTTTTAATGTCATTAAGGGTGCATTTGTTTCAGTTATTGCTGTAGAAAAGTTGGTTTCAGAGGCTGCTCGTGAAAATCTGTTATTCAGAAGCTGGTGTTTTAGAAACAATTCGTATATTTGAAAAAAACAGTTCCAAAAGCTGTGTATATTAACATAATGATTATAATGCCCTTAGTATACAAAAGCAGTTCTGTTTCAAGAATACAATTATGTTTGAAAAACACATTTAAAAATGCTTCCTATGTAGTCAATCCAATAACAATTTTTAATATTATTTATTGAACACAATACCATAAGAGAAATTAAGAACATTAACCTAGTTTTTTGCCCTCAAAATAATCATATAATATAAGTTCAAAATAAATTATATCCTAGGTAGATAGACGAGTTTGTATACCAAAAACACATAAAGTAGCACAGTTTGTCCTCTAAATTACATCATCGCTAAAACAAAAACAACATACACAATAATAAAAACAATGCTACGATTACAAAATCAAATGAGAGCAAAATTGTCATAAGATTTCAGTAACAAAACAAATCTAATAATGCAAATAGGCAGATATGGCAAGCCAACCTATTGCTATGATACCAAAATCCACCTGAGTGGTAAGATTCTGACAAGAAACCCCACCGCCATCAATAAATAAGAAGTGATCAAAGACGAAGAGAAATATATGAAACAAATAGAAGATTGAACAAGTAAAGGTAGCAACTTTGTAATGCAAAATTGTAACTTGATCTACACTAAAACTTCTTGCATACATAACACTGATTCACACAATTATGCTCTAAAAATAATAACATTCTTCGAATACATTACAAAATATAACAAGTAACCAATCATGCATATATTATTAAATCAAAAATTAACTAAAGCATCAGTGATGTGCTCTCATGACACAGTCATCTCATCTGCACCTTCTCCATCACCTACATTGCTATTGATGATGTCATCATCAGTTTTTATCATCAATTCGCCCAAGTGATATTCATATACTTTCGAAGGCACTAATTGTTATCATCGACACTTGCGAAGTCGATGTTGAAATGTGAAGAATGACGCCGTATGCAATTATGAAATGTCATTGTTGCGGCGACAATTCTAACATGTTTATCAAATGAATATGTAGGTATGTCTCTTAGAATAACCCATTTTTTTTCCAAACTCCAAAAGCCCTCTCAATCACGTCTCACAGTTTCAAATGACGCTTATTAAACATTTCTTTTCGTCCCCGTACTACTTGACTAGCTCTTTCAAAGTCAAAAATATGATATCTTGTGTTGGAAAATGATCTTAAAAATCTTTGTTGCAGTGGATATCCGACATCCACTACATAATAATTCCCTGTTCTGACAATCAACCATGAGTTACTATGTGAAACTTTAAGATGAACTTTACGGAGGAGTTATCCAACCTGGAGGTGGCAGGAGAAATCAGGCTATCTCTAGCTCTTTTGAACCTTGAGCTGTCCAATAATGTTCACCAATCACAACAATCCCAACAAACATAACATATAACTTCTCCTCTAGCTCTAGTTCAATTTCACCCACTTTAATTTCTTAGCATTTAGCACAACCTGTCATTCATATAATCAGAAGGAAGAAGTTAAGTATAATAAGTTTGCATGCCAGGAAAATTTAAATGTCTTAAAATAAATTTGACCTCTAATTTCTCCTTCCACCAATCTGCTGATGCATCTATGTTGTTTTTAATTGGATTCCAACCAAGACCAGTAGATCCTCTTTTGAGTTTTTTTTCAAATCTTCTAGTACTTTTTTAATTGATCTCATTTGTTTTTTAAATGAGTTCGATCATACACCCTTTCGGTTTTATTTTGTAAATTATCTATAATATTACGCCAACCTTATGTGTTGAAATGTGTTGTTGGCTTATTACCTAATTCAATTTTTTACATACATAAATCTCAAGAAAATAATATTGTTTCTTTGTCTCAGATAGCAGATGTTGCGCCATCTCTTGTATTGCCCATTTGCTAACATAAGTTCAAAAAATTAAGCAAAGAGCATATAACTAAAAAAAACATGATACCATTTTCAATCTAATAAGCTTGGCATTTATGAAAAACCATTAAGCAAAAAGGCATGCTTGTTTTAAATAAATGAATTTCCAGTAGGACCACATAGGCAACTAAAGATCTCCACTTCAGCTATATAGACAAGGATAAAGGGCTCCACTCCAGCTATGTAGACCATGTGCAAATTTGTAATAAGAACTAGCTATGTCACTGCTAAAAAAATTCATCTTATATAAGAAAAATGAAATTGATTAATACCAAACTAATTATGTTCAAATATAATTTCTTATCCATCCCACATTTGCAATGATAGCTAGCTGTCTCACTCCACCTAGTTTCCTTATGTAATTAGTAAATGCAAATCAATTCTGAAAAAAAAAAAAACATTATTCTTCTATTTTATATGTATGCATGTATGCATCTCATATCATGCATTCAAATTTTTAAAGCTAAAATAGAGAGTTAGAGAAATAATGCCACGCTTCTGATTCATAACAAGATAGTATTATTTATTCTAATGCCTTTTCATATTTTCATCCATATCCTTAAATAATTGAGATTCAAAGTGGATTCGGGTTTGTATTCCACAGTATCAAATCAAATATCTATCATACAAGGTTGATGTAGAATCGCGAATCGGGATTTGGGTCACCTGTATTATTCCTTGACTCACTCACAAAAAAGAGAGGAAGATAGCTAAATTCAACTAGACAGCCGAAGAATCTCATAACATAATTCCAAATGGCGAAAGAAGTATGAATAACTGAGTTCCAAATGCCAACAAATGATAGCATAATTCAACAACTCAACAGAATAATCTCTTAGCAAACCTTGCTCTTTGAAAAATCTCATGAAATAATTCCATAAAAAAGAAAATCGAGTTCCAAATCCCGTGCGAACAACTCAGGAGAAGAAGAAGGGAAGAGAAGATATTCTACGACACAGTAAAACTCAAATTCATGATTCCTCTAAAGGAATTATAATGACCAGCATTATATGAATGACTCTAATTTTCGAGAGAAAACCTAAAGTATTTTTCTAAATCTTTTAAAATACATGTTTCCTGAGGGCACATAGCGTGGAAGTCGAAATGTCCCAATATTTTCTTATTAAAAATAATCAACCACTTACCTACCTACTTGCTTTTCCAATAGAAATTAATTGACAATTAAATACCATTTTACGGTTCTAGGGGCGATATTTTTGTTTCAACATTTCAATTATTTCAAAAGAACTCAAAATCTCTCTCTCAATCTTATTTTTCTAGAATTTTTTCCTATTAGACCTACCAATTTTACTTTAGTTAATTTTGATTTTATGT